GGTTTGCGTCTTAGACGGTTCCTAATTTAAACGGCTGCAAAGGATGGAATTTCAGTCACCCTAAATAACGGCCTGACATTCTAAAGGAAAACTCCTTTCATGTCTGATGTAATTTTCCAGGGGCTGTACGCTGTGGGAGGTCGTTAGCTCTATTAGCTACTGGAATATGTGCTTGGGTATTCTTGTTACAAGTTTTCCATTTTAATTTCAAATTCAGTACATATCAAGAGGTAGAGCTCGTGGGTTCTCATTTTTAAGACGCATTTTACAGTGATCTTTACACCAAAGCCTTGGAGAACCGAGGCCCTCACAATGACTCGAGGTAAGTCGGAGGGGCCTTCCTTTGTAAAACGAGGGAGCAATGAATGACGGGAAGCAGGAGGTGAGACAGAAGAACTGTCACAGCATCTGGACTTTGGGCACTTTGTCCGGCTTGGATTTTAGGAAAGACGTCCTGGATGAGGATGAAGACACTGCCCCCTCCAAGCCACTGCCTGGGGCCGGGGCTGCAATCACTATTTCAGTCGGCCTGTGGCACTGGATTTCGTGCTGAAGTTATCACTTTACCTTCCAGGTCGTAAGCTCTCAAATAAGATGCCCATATATCCCCAGGCTTCGTGAACTTGCAAAACTTGGACTTATACTTAGATCAATCAGCTTTGGCTCAATCAGAAGACATAGGAGGTGGTGTGTGTGTGTGTGTGTGTGTGTGTTTGAACAGATATCTGCAGGCTGAAACCAAGACTGTTGCCAAGACTCTTGGTAAACACTTGAGCACAAAACACAAGTCACGTGGGGGAAGAGCTGGCCCTCCCGTAAATCAGGAGGGTGGTGGGTTTCACCGAGATGTTCCCCGACCGTCCTTCAGGCCGGCAGGGTTCATCCACGCAGGAAGTGAAACTGCTTATCACGGGGCATGACTTCAGGTTAAGCGGGAAGTCCATTTCCCTCTTTGCGTTTCCTTACAGAGTGAACACAAAGTCAGGAAAAACATCTGTAGCAAAATCCCTGGCACCAGGCACCACCCCCTTTCAGAACCGCCCAGCAACAGCCAAATCTCGGATGACAGCAGTTCTCAACAGACGCTCAGCAGATGCCAGCAGAGAGCGTGGAAGCTGGCCCCAACCAGTGAACTTTCTCCAAAACTCGGTGGGCACTGCAGGCCAGACACAGCCTTCTTTGCTTTCTGTATTCAGTAACATTTCTTTGGGCCTGAGATGCCCAACCAGAGACTCATTTCTCAGCCTGGGTTGGACACAGCCACGGGCGTGCGCAGGAGACACGGCCCTGTCCTCTGTCCGGACGCACAGTAACCACCAGACTGGAATAGCCCTGCACGTTTTATACCCAAACCCTTGTGGCTTTCCAGGGAAAACATGATCCAGCTCTCAGTCTCCGCCCACCACCCACGCTCCCCAGTGCCCCAGTCCCGAGCCCTGTCCTCTGCCCCTGGGCTCCCTTCACTCCATTACATCTCACCCAACTCCACGGTGGCTCATGCCCCTCTTGCCAGGTTCTCTGCTGGTTAAAAAACAACAACAACAACAACAAAAAAACCCTGACACAAAGTCTGAAAGATATTTTAAGGAACTTTCAGTAACAGGATGTTCCATGGAGGGAAGGACAGAACTGCTGAGGAAGCAACTTCTAAGCATAGTTAGGTCAATTCTTTGAGTTCTGGAGGAAGCAATCCTATCCTCTCATCTCTTCCTTGGTGTCTATCTTTCTACCCAAAGAGGGGAAAAAAATACAATATATGCTGCGTCAAAGAAGGAGCTTACGCTCACTCACTCTGAACTCACTGTCTGCCCTGAACTCATTCACTTACTGTGTACCAGACACTGTCCCAGGGACCGCGGGTGCGTCCACAAACAAAACAAAGGCCCTTGTCCTTACGGATCTCACGTTCTCGTGGAGGGAAAGGGCGAGAAATAATAACCTTCTAAGTAAGTGAGCTCCCAGAAGGTGATTAGGATTCTGCAAGAATAGAAGAGGATCAGAGGGCCAGAGGTGAGTGGAGAAGTGGGGTGTGATTTTCAGTACGTGGACCAGCCGGGCTCCTTTAGAAATGCCCTCTGAGGAAAGCTGAGGTGAGGGAAAGGGCCAAGTTTTTACTGGAGGTGAGGGAAGGGTCTAGCAGAAAAACAGGTGGGACAGGCCTTTGGTTTGTCCCCTCAGTGGGTGGGAAACTGGAGCTCTGA